AATATCCCAATGCAAATTGCTGCAATACTTCGTCCATGTGTTTTTTGCTTCTTTTTTGTCCATCAAGATCTTACCGTCCTTGCTTTTTATCGGTTTGCCTTGGTTGCCACTTCCTATTTGTGCTCTTCACTAGTCTGTACACCTCCCTGGTCTTGTGTTTTCCAGCATCGTATTCAATGTCACTACATTGCTTTTCCAGCTATTCCTGCTAATACTTAGTCGCCATCTCATCCGCTTCCTTTATCTTGAGCCTTATTTTTATCTTTTCCTATGCTAGTTATATAGTTTATCTTAGTTATCCATGTACTTTTGGGGTTTACTGCTCAGGCTATCGCTGCTTCTACTGCTTGCTCCACTACCTTCTTTAATGATAATGTCTTGCTGTCTATGCTGAGATATTTTATATTTTCCCCTCTGATTCTACTCGATATTTCTTCATATTTCTCCTTGTCTCATTGTTCTCGAGTGCCTCTATGTTCCTCTTCTTCTCAATTTGCGTTCTCGATATACGTTTTAGTCGCAGGTTACATAGTATCAAGCTGTGGTCCGATGACACATCAGCTCCTCGGAATGGTCTGCATAGTCGAACTGATGTTTTACAGCGTCTGTTGATCATTACCAGATCTATAATATTCGTACGTTTTCCATCCGGTGCCCTCCATGTTAATTTTCTGCAGTTTTTTTGTTTGAACCATATGAGCATGTCATGTTTAAAAGAAAATTCATTTCTTTCCCCAAAATTCATTTCTTTCCCCATATCCATACATTTGCATGACGCATTACTATCCAGTGTTATCCTTCCTAAATTTTTGTTCCAGAATTCCATAGAATTCTTCATTATCCTCTTCTGCGCTATCTGATGTTGGCGCATATATTTGGATGACAGACATATTAGGGCTTGTCCATTAAATCTAGCTCCAATTACTTTTGGACTAACCAGTCTATATCCCAATAATGATGATTTGGCTTTTGCGCTCAACAAGAACCTTGCTCCTCTGGTGTGCACTATATCTTCCCCTTACCAGATCACTTCACCTCCATTTATCTCCCCCGTTCCCGTCGATATCATTTCTGCCAGTCCTATCATGTTGTACTTGTATCTTTCCATTCCCTCTGATTAGCAGGGTTGGCTACGTACGGTGTCAAAGAAGTTATCTCATGCTATGTCCCTAAAGTAGTCTCTTTATGCACTATTCTCAGCCTCTTTGTTGTTTCGGAATTTGGGTACTTTGTTTCCTGATGGTGTCGCAGCTATTGCTGCTACTCTGCAGTTCTCTCTATATATAAAGCTGTTTTGAGCAAACTAATGCATTGTCGTCATTGGTCTGTTTGACGTCATTACGTGTAATATTAGGAACTATTAAATTTCCATTAAACGATGAAAACTAAAATAAGTATACACAGTTGCACATTAACTATTTATGAAAGATAATTGTGTACCACTTTTTTGTAGGCCTATGTAGACCGACTACAAGTTTCCTTGCCATTTAAACATTCTATATGGGTTATGTATGGCAGGGAGACATGGTCGGTGACTGTGCATCCTTAAACAACTGGACGTCTTTCGCCAGTGGTCCTTGCAATGGATACTTCAATTTCACTTCAGTGAGCATATCACAAATGCTGAAGTCCTTCATCGAGCAGAATGTCAGCCGGTGTCTGACTTCGAACGAGGAGGCTGCAACTCTTGCAGACACATTGCCCCTGCTGACATGTTGGCAGAACTGTGCAATTATCGATGGCCTTGCTCAAGATTGGACGCTACCCAGGGGCAGGCCGAGGTAGAAATGGATGCACACGGTTGGGGCCGATTCAGACATCGTAATCTCACCCTACACTTGGCGTATTGGGCGCATGAGAATGCCATCACCAGGCGATGTCTAGTATTGAAAACCGCTACGCCTCCTCTCGGGGCTTGCGACTAATTGACATAAAATTACCCGATATGCACCCGATCGCGTCAGATGATCGCAGAAGCTAAGCAGATTTTAAGACTGAATTTCACCTGAAAGGGCGATCACTGTGCATGCCGGGTGGTCAAAGGCTGCTACAGCAGACTATGCTGTGGTCGGTGGAGGGCAGTGCAGAAAAATCCAATATTTTATTTGTATTGTACTACTATGCTTCTACATCTATGCTCCCTGCTTCACTCACCAGTCTGACCAACATAAAGTCTGGCAAAATAACCGTTTCGACCTGCACAGTGTGGGCAGACTTTTTGTCCAGGAGTTGGTTTGCAAGAAAACTGAACACGTACTATTCCTTATTTTACACGACAGCCGAAAAGCACAGATCACAATAATTATATCGAGCACTCAATTCTTTGGTATCAGCTGTATTATCACACGATTTGACGTGGTGATGTCTTCAATTGTGTTTGTTAAAATGTACAGTCAGAATGAAGCCTATTCACTATAGTGTGTACGAATTATTGTCTCCATGTTAAATATTTGACTTTAAAACTTTAAATGGCCGACGACCCTTGACCACATGAAATTAAAATCCTTTCCTCAGTCCATTTTACTTTGATAGTAATCCAACTGCAACAACATAGACCACTCACACATTTTAATCATTGGTTGGTGGCAGGAGATGAGGAGACATGGTCCAAAATGTGATGATATGTGATTAGCAGCTGAAAATGAGGTGACAGGGATGAGGGTGGGTGGGGAGGAATGGGAAAAGGACCTGTGGGGATAAGAAAGCACGTCGGAGGAGGGACGTCAGGAGAAAACTGTTGATGAAGGAGGGAGTTCTGTGTTTCAGAGGTGGAATAAACGGACTGGAACCCTGACCTGTCTCGGCGGGTTTGTGAGGAGAGTGTCTGCTACAGTAGTATGGGAGTAAAGCAACCAAAATCACGAGAGACCCCTTTGGCCTCGTCCATCCATAATATATCCACGCGCAACAAATCTGGCAGGTAGTGTGAACCAAGGTTTAGGGAGCACATGCCCAAAGAACCGTAGTAGGTGTGAGCATGTCTGCATCAAGTTTTCCAAGACACACACGTGTTCTCCCCCCCACCCCGCAACCCTGTTCAATAACTAGTGATGGGACTGAGAAACCATCAAACACATTATACACATAAACACGATTAAATTTTCGATTTAAAGCTTTCGTGACTGCAGGGATTCATCTTCTTGGTTCTTTCGGTAAAGTCACGTAGAAGGGTAGTAATAAAATAATAAAAATAAAACATAATAAAATAATTCTCACGACGTTTCGGCCACAACGCAAGCAGCCGTCCTCAGGTGAAGAATGAAACACCACCAAGCTTGGAGCGTATATTTAAGCTGGGTTGGAGGGGGGGAGGTGGGAAGAAGAGTGCCTTGACAAAATAATTTGCATATCAAGAGGAATTTAGCATATGGAAAATGTGTAGGAGGTGGGCGGGGGGGTTTCAAATTAATATTATGCCCGTGCATTATGCAGGATTAGCAGCATCAAAGGGAGGGGGAAGGGGGGTAGCATTAACAAAGGAAAGGAATGTTAATAGTATGTAGCTGCAGTTACTAAACAACCACGTAAAAATTAAAGTATAAACTACATAAACAACTAAAGTATAAACTACATAGCATCATCAGTATACTTACTATACTCTACAATAAGCTGAGTTACTAACAGTAAGTAATACATTACAATTCTACGTCGTAAAAATTATATAATATGCTTCCATCTAAACTTTATTCTCTTAAATCACACGAGTCTACACCGTACTATATACTGCCATAGACAAACCCAACATTAAATTACATACTGTATTGCTATAAACCAAACGACATGTCTCGGACCGCATCCGTGAACATAAAGCAGACCTGAAACACGGTAGGACAAACACCTCAGCCGTGGCAGATCACTGTTACAACTCAGTGGACTCACATGACATTGACTTCTCCAAGACAGAGGTTCTCTGCAAGCCATCTAGCTATCATGAGAGATTCGTTCATGAGGCGATCCACATATACAAACACAGAGACAATTTCAACCGAGAAGATGGATTCTGGCTTAGCAATCATTGGAAGGACGTAATAAACCACTTCGGATCTTAACTGATTGTGTTCACGTTTACGGTGACTTTCAGACCGCGTTCCACTCACTGGCATTGTATTCTCCGCAGGGAATGGATTCTTTGCTCCGCTGCAAGTTTCCCCCACGACTCACCCATTGACACGACGGTCAATGGTACAGTGTATAATAACAAATAGTATAACATTTATATGCTTAATACAATGTACAAAGTAATATATAGTATCGTAATTGTATAGTAAACATATAGCAGTGTGATACACATTAGAGTGGGTAGAATAATACATAGTGTTATATTAAAATGTATAAGGTATAGGGTGGTTTATAGCAATACAGTATGTAATTTAATGTTGGGTTTGTTTATGGCAGTATATAGTACGGTGTAGACTCGTGTGATGTAAGAGAATAAAGTTTAGATGGAAGCATATTATATAATTTTTACGAAGTAGAATTGTAATGTATTACTTACTGTTAGTAACTCAGCTTATTGTAGAGTATAGTAAGTATACTGATGATGCTATGTAGTTTATACTTTAGTTGTTTATGTAGTTTATACTTTAGTTTTTTACGTGGTTGTTTAGTAACTGCAGCTACATACTATTAACATTCCTTTCCTTTGTTAATGCTACCCCCCTTCCCCCTCCCTTTGATGCTGCTAATCTTGCATAATGCACGGGCATAATATTAATTTGAACCCCCCCCCCCCCCGCCCACCTCCTACGCATTTTCCATATGCTAAATTCCTCTTGATATGCAAATTATTTTGTCAAGGCGCTCTTCTTCCCACCTCCCCCCCTCCAACCCAGCTTAAATATACGCTCCAAGCTTGGAGGTGTTTCATTCTTCACCTGAGGACGGCTGCTTGCGTTGTGGCCGAAACGTCGTGAGAATTATTTTATTATGTTTTATTTTTATTATTTTATTACTTCCCTTCTACGTGACTTTACCGAAAGAACCAAGAAGATGAACTCGATTTAATGTTAAATTAAAACCTAGATATCAAATTTAGGACCTCATTGGACCCTCACAGCTCGGCTGAGCGGCTCCCAGGCTGCCAAAACTTGCGGCTAAACATGATGCGGATGGCGTTACGAAACGCGCGGTTGAAGCCCCCGTATAGGTAAGGGTTGATGGCTGAGTTAACATGCCCGAACCAGTTTACCATGTCCCAGGTGAAGGAATTTGTTCTAAAATCGATCCAGGGATCTTTGACGATGGTGTAAAAAAATGGCGCATAGCAGAAAATGAAGACACCCAGAATGATGGACACAGTCTTGGTGGCGTTGTGCTCTCGTTTCATGGCTGCCCACTGCTGCTTGTTGAAGCCCGACTTGCCCTGGCTCCCTTGCTGCTGGATGCTGATGGAGCGGGCCTGCTTGCGTGCCACGCGGTAAATCTTCGCGTAGGCAAGGGTCATTACAGTTACAGGCACCACGAAGGTGAGGAAGGCACCACAGCTCGATAATGTCTTGTTCATGTAGAAGATGCAGTTGTTCTTACAGATGCGGCTTGCCATCAGGTCCTCGATGCCGATGACAATCCATCCTAGCATCACGGGCACCACTTGGAACACCGTCCCGAGCCATATGGTGACAAGAAGCAGGGCTGCTGTCCTCCAGGTAAAGCGCTCCCTATAGTGCATCGGGTCGCAAATGGCCAGGTATCGCTCGTAGGCGATGCAGCAGAGGTGCCAGGTGGAGGCGGTACACACGAAGGCATCAAGGAAGTGGTGGACTTTGCAGAATGTTTGGCCGTAGAACCAGCAGTCGTAGACGCACTGCGTCGTGTAGAAGGGCATCACCACTACGCCCACCATGATGTCGGCCACCGCCAGGGAAAGGGTGAAGGTGTTGGGCAGCACCTGCAGCTGCTTGAAGTAGGAGATAGCCATGATGATGGTCATGTTTCCCAGGACGTTCAACACCATGGTAACAATCATGATGAGCAAGATGATGTTGGCGATGCGGGCAGACATTCGAGCTGGGCGGCAGAGGAGACCGGACTCCCGGATCAGACAGATCAGTGGCTCCACGTTGGAGGCATTGTGGTCAGGATCCCCATCCATGAGTCCCAGAGCCAGGCTGGAGTTCATGGTGCCCCCTTCGAACTTTTCAGTGCCCAGCGTCTCAATCAGTTAAAGGACTTCTGCTCGCTTCACAGTCACTCCTTTGCCAACTTGTCCACTGTTCCTTGCATGCATTTGTCTTGCCTCTCTCTAGCACAGTCATTCACCCAGAATCAGTGTCTGGGGCACTTACATCCTATAGCTCCTGACCATCTCTGTTTCTTACAATTTTGGGAAAATTAAAAGCGTCCTCTAAGATGTTTGGCCACTTCCTGTCCTTGAGCAGTTGGTGTGTCCACGTGTAGGAGGAAATCGCAGGGCCTGGAGAAAATCCTGCAACCATTCGAGGGGACAGCAATCAAAACTCAGCGATATATATCCTCTCAGCAACCTCCTTCATATTCTGTGTCCTATTCACACAAATTCTAATTTAACGCTAAATACAATAGTTGATATGGGGTTTGTCAATAAACTGACAAGACTCTGTTCACCTCTGTCTCCCTGTATTTGTATTTTCTATCTCTCTATCTCTTTCTGCCTTATAGCCTTAAACATTATGCAATACCACGAGTTCTTGAAGAACTGCATGAATAATAATATTTAGTTGGATATAGCGTTGTGCATGTAAATTGATTCTCACACTCACTGAGGCACCACAGAAAAGCTGGCAGGCAGACAAGCGGGAAGCCATAGTCAATAATCTTTGTCTTCCTATTGTTCTCTCTGTGTCTGGGTTTCACCACCATCTATCTATCTGTCCCTTTGTCTTCCTCTGTATATTCTATGTCTCATATGTCCCTCTTTCTGCTAGGAAACAATTTGTTAGAGTAAGAGGAGATGGTTCTAGATGTCATACTTGAAGAAGTAACCATTGCCCTTTACAATATTTAAACAGGGAACATTCTCGTTCCATATGTAATGACTGTGGGCATAACAAACAAAACAAGTAGTAACAGCTATTGCAAATCAATGACTGGATTGATTTACTACCCAATGTTTACACAAAATCAAATGCCTTTTTTTGCCACGATACATTTTTTACAATTGAAATAAAGCATTTAATAAGGAGGTTTTCGCAGCCAATATTAACCATAATAAGGGTTTTTTTGGATTAGATCGCGTAAATATAAATGCATCGTTATACTCACCACCACCCGAAACAACCAATTAGTAAGTTTTCTCATGTAAACAAAATATACCAATTCGTTACTACTTCAGCACACCGGTGTCCTGGAGAGTAAACCCACATTTACAAATCGAGTACGACGTATCGCCAGTAATTACAACCAGTCTCATCAGAGGACAGCGAGAATTGTGGAGAAGTCCTCCTGTTCAAAAAACCTCGATTAAATAAAGAAACAAACCTTATTTGGAACATTACATATATTGGTTAAAGACATGCATACAGAGTGTTCTCGAAGATCATAACGGAATTAGCGACAAATCCGAGCCCGCGCACCTTGGTTTGGACAGCCGTTCAATACAAATACTTAATAATGTACAGAGCGTCTTAAAACGAAAGGCATCAGTAGAGAACCGCTACTCTACTGATATAAAATAATGCGTGAATAAACACTTTCCACCATGATTTATAATTAGTTTATTTTGGGCTAGATCGTCTTGTAGGTATAATATCAATTAGTTTCAATCATAACCCTCCGCCACCCAGCAGAGTCAACCAAAATCGAGTGCTCACGTTGGGGCAAATTTTGCCAATTGATTTGGATTTTCAGCAAAATCCGGAGGAGGAGGAATATTGGAAAGTGAGCAACAAGTTGACTATGGTGTTTTTTTAAATCGACGTTTCACTGGAGATTACATCCAGGAACATCACATGTGAACAAAATGCTCGGCTCCTAATGACACTGGATGTAATCTCCAGCAAACGTCAATTTAAAAAAAATCATCTAACTGCCTGCTGCTCTGCTTGCATGCTCGCTTGCCTGCTATGTTTTGCTACCCATGCTGTCAAATGCTGCCGCTGGCTCTCCGCCATGGTGAAACAGGAAGCTGAGCGCGTAAGTCTTCCTTGCAAGTACAGAGCCTCTCCATCACCAAGACTCCTACTGTGCCTCCCCGTTTGCAGCCCACGGTAACTGGTATCTCGCGACACAAGACCAAAGCAGTAGTGGATCTCGGAGCTGCAGTGGTCCTCAGAGGTATCTCCAACTTCCCAACCACTGCCCCACTGCCTTGTGGGTAAACTTTGGCTAGGGGAGAAAACTCTGACTCAAAATCTGTGGTGGGGACCCGCAACAGTGGTATTCAACAAAACGATTCTCCGGCAGTCCCCTGCAGCTCTGGCCAGACGAAGGTCGTCGTGAGTTCCTCATGCCACCTGAGTCTGTTTGGCTGGAGTGAAGATGGTAGGCATTGGGAATGCACACCCCTACCCTCACTTTAATCCACTCGCTGTGCAAGCTTCTTGCTCCAACCCCCCCCCCCCCCCACACCTTTTTTAAAGCCCTGTGGCAAACAGCAAATGGCAGAAGGTACAGGTCAAGGAGGTGACTGGGAGCATCTAGGAGTATCGGTCGCTGAGACACGGCATGTCTCCTCGGCAGCTTCCATCATGTCTGAGCAGCCCTCCACTGCTCACCCCTAATGGGGAAAGACCTAGTAAAAGTGGTCTAAAAAGTGTCTGTTCCACTCACTCCGGGTGGTTAGCTGCTACCAACCGAGCATTCCATTTAGTGACCGAAACTCAAGGAAACCAAAGACTTGTTTACTTCTTTAAGCTGCTTCATGGAACATCCACACCGTCTTGGACTCTTACGAAAAAAACTGACAAACCACACAGAAGGACAGCTCTCGTGACCCATGAACTCAGGAAATACAACATCAGCATTCAGTGAAACCCGCTTCCATGGAGACTCTCTCACAGAGGTGGATGAGGGCTACAGCTTCTTCTGGAAGAGTGTTCCAGAAGATGCTCGCCGTCTCCATGGAGTGGGTTTTGCTGTGAAAACCTCAATCCTCCAACGCGTCCCTCTATCCCCTGTTGGCATTAGTGAGTGGCTGATGACGTAGCACATCCCCTTGGCTGGGGGACGCTCTGCCATGCTCATCAGTGCTCATGCGCCTACACTGGACGCAGACAATGACGTGAAGGAGGCATTCTATAAAGCTATCGACACTGCCATTAAAAACACACCACATACAGTAAAGCTATTCCTCATTGGAAACTTCAACGCCAGAGTGGGCTCCGAACACCATATCTGGGACTGTGTACTAGGCTGGCATGGGGGGAGTTAAGCAGAACGGCAACGGGCTGCGGCTACTGTCCCTATTTTCCGAACACCACCAAGTGATCACCAACACCCTGTTCCAGTTGAAGGACAAACACAATAAGTCATAGAAACACCCCTGCTCAAAACACAGGCACCTGCTAAATTACATCATCATCCATCAGTGCGACCAAAAGGAGGTACTAGTGACCCAAGCCATGCGTGGAGCAGAATGTTAGACTGATCACTGTATGATCAAAGCCAAGCTCTGCATTGAGATCCGTCCACTAACAACCTGCAGCATCTCTTCTCCACGAAATTCCCCCCAAACTCCCCGGACTCCGACCCCAACACTACATGGATTGAGTTGTGCACAGCTATCTTCCAGGCAGCCTCGGAATCAATCGGGTACACCAAAAAGCATCACCCAGACTGGTTTTATGAAAACGCTGCCGACATCCACACACTACTACAAACGCCAAGCCCACAAAGCCGTTCTTACCAACCCAGACTACCCCACTCTCCAATCCTCTCACTCCAAGGCAAAAGCAGAGTCCCAACGTGCTCTCTATGCCATGGAGGACACCTGGTAGGTCCAAACGGCAGATGAGATCCAAATCCTCGCAGATGCAAACAACACCCAACGGTTTTATAATGCCATCAAAGCCCTCTATGGCCCCCCAAAACAAACCATCACCCCAGTCATGCCTGTTGATGGCAAAACGCATTCCAAGGACCAACAAAAGATCTTGGAGAAATGGGTGGAGCACTTTGATAACCTCCTCAACCACATCAACCCCACATACCCACTCATCCTTGACACACTCCCTGATATCCCACCCATTCATAAACTTGACAGTCAACCACAATTTTCTGAGGCCCACTAAGCGGTCAAAGGCCTGAAAAACAACAAAAGTGCTGGACCTGACAGCATCTCATCTGAGATCTTGAAGCACGGGGGATACCTCATCCTTCGCCATTTACACCTTCTCATCAAGTCATCTGGCTGTCAGAAACCATCCCACAGTAATGGAAGGATGAAAATATTGTAGTTATCTACAATAAGAAGGGTGACAACGTAGCTTGCGGCAATAGCAGAGGTATCTCCCTTCCTTCAGTCACCAGAAAGGTCCTCGCCAGAATAATGCTCTACTGGCTCGCAGATAACCGATATTAAAAACGTCCTACCAGAATCCCAGTGCAGCTTCAGGAAAGACAGGAGCACCACCGACGTGATATTTGTGGCAAAGTAACTGCGGAGAAAATGCCGGGAGCAAATCATTGACCTCTTCATAGCTTTTATCGACCTCACCAAAGTATTCGAGACCATCAACTGTGAGATACTCTGGCAGCAGGTCATCAAATTTGGGGTGCCTCCCAAGTTTTTGAGCATTCTAAAACAGTTCCATGAAGAAATACATGCCAGAGTAGTGCTTGGTGTGATTCAATCGGAGCCTTTCAACGTTGATGTCGGGGTCAAGCAAGGCTGTGTTCTGGTTCCAGCTATATTCAACATGCTCCTTGCTGCCGTCACAAGTCTATCACATAACTCCCTCAACTCAATCGATGGAATCCAGCTACAGTACTGTCTGGATGGAAATCTCTTCAACGTAAGACGCCTCCAAGCACACACAAAAACCAAAACCCAACAGATATTTGAACTGCCATATACAGACGACTGTGCAATCTTGGCTCACACCCCAGAATCCATGCAACACGCCCTCAATCTGGTCTCCTCCTTCTACCACTCCATCGGCCTACAAATCAATACTAAGAAGACGGAAATAATTGCTCAACTGTCATCCACGTCCACCTCAATCCCTACCTTCAACATCGGTGGTGTTCACCTCAAATTGATACCCCATTTCACCTACCTCGGTTCTGTCCTCTCCCCTACATGCTCCCTTGACGACGAAATCCACACTTGTGTCAACAGAGCCTCTGCTTCCTTTGGACGCCTCTGGGCCAGAGTCTTCGAAAATTGTAACCTCAAGACCCACACCAAGGTAGCAGTTTACAACGCTGTTTGTGTCTCCACACTGCTTTATGGCTCAAAGACCTGGACCCCATATAGGCGTCACATTAACATCCTGCAAGCATT